AAATACCGTTATAAATTGGTTATCTATAGTTTCTTTTGACTCTTGTTTATGGATACTGCGAAAGCAACTGTAACATGAAATTTCTACGTCACATTCGTCTAACAAAAGATACAAACGTCCTAGGAATATTACCTTGGCACGAACATTACGACCAACTATAACACGAACTTTAATAACATGGTTAGCCAATTGAATATGAAGTAACCTTGTTCTAATAAGCGTATCGCATTTAGGATCAATATTATTCAATAACATGTGTCACGTTCGTGTGCAAGTCGCTACGGCTGCATCTGCGACAAAGAAAACGACTCTATGGTAAAGATAAAAATACTATAATTGAAACAGTCATTAAAAATGGCCGCAGGTGTTGTCTGCGACGTCTTTCATGGCCGCTACAAATTTCGGCGACAGCTTACGTGTGCAACGCGATCATAATAGGAGACGCAAGGACACAAGTTTTTCTCCGCCAGAATTCATGTTTCGAAATAAAGAAATTGCTTTACTTAGTGACTTTTCAGTGGTTACACGGGGAAAAAAATTGTTTGTACCACTTTAATACTTCTTATGGTGTGACATACCGACTTTAATACTTCTTATGGTGCCAACTTTCTTGCTTGGAACATATAATCGTAGTTTCAAATACCGACTTTAGAATTGAGAAAATCATATGGAGTAGCTACCTTTTATGCCACTTGAGATGTTAAACTATAGACCAAACAAATACAAAACTATTTTACCAAAACCAGAGTATTATAAAGAAAAATATATACCTAATGGAGTCTCAAACATATCAGGGTTGTTGAGGAGGTTATCCTGCTCTTTCTCACGCCAATATCTTCTCAACAAATATGCAAATTTGTAGATATTAATGGCATAAGGGTAACGGAGCGCGCCCAACCCGATATCTACAGATGTACAAACACAATGTACGCATAAGAAAAAAATGACACAAATAATAAACATTGAAGAAACGACTGATTTAGAGATTTACCTCGTTGAATAGACAAATACTAAATGAATCAAAACCAGGAGGTGTCCATGAAAAAAAAACAGAAAGAAAAAGAGTAGGATTTAGATAATATATTCATTTCAAACATAAATAGGTAGAAATCATATGAAGAGATATCTTGTTGAAGAGAGACAAAACCTAAAAGATAGAAGCAGAAGAAACTCCTTTCAACAAAAAGCGAAAAGATTTAGAGAGAATATGATTAGAGAATTACCTTATCGAGAAGGACCAAATTATGGAGAAAAAAAGGAAAACAAAGAAGTATATTTACAATAGCAAGAAGACCAAGAGGTGTATATAAAAACCAACAAAAAAAGAGAGAACAAACATAATAGCAATACATACCTCAAGCATGTTATTATCCAGCTCAATTACCCTCAAATGTTGAAATTCTTTCCAAAAACTCTACAGCTTCCTTGCATCCTACACAGAAACATTGGAGCTAAGCATACAATTAATTAAAACTATTGTGGCTAACTAAAGAGACAAACCTCGTCTCAAACTATTGTGGAGTACATGTTACCATATTAATTGCAAAATCAAGCAAATGAAACAAATAAATCATTGGTTAGTCATAGACTTTACTTGATACATATTAGCATGGCTCGTAAAGCACCAAAAGTAACTCAACAACGAAGCAATAATCAAATCTATTATAAGCATGCAAAAAATAGGTTAAACAAACGCCAATATAACATAGATCTACACAATATAAACCATGAATCGATTTGTTATATTGAATATTAAAGCACTGCCAAGTAAATATGTCATGAATTTGTCAAGTACAAACTGATCAATTATAAATCATGGGATCACTTACCTCGATCAGAAACTAAATCGGAGATGTCGGAGAAAGAGCTAAGATTAGGTCGGTGGGGGAAAGGATTTTGGTAAAAATATTCAAAAGGTGAGATTACTTACCTGTACGAAGACCCGTAGATATGCTTTGAAGACCCATAGATATGCTTTGAAGCCGCTGGTTTTCTTATGTGCAATACTACTTTCAATTAAAAATAAAATAAAAATTGTTAGGGGTTAATATGGTTCACTCTTGTTTTCAAAAGAAATAAAAAAAATATGGATCACTCGCGAAAGAGAAGAAGAATTGGAGATACTGAAAGAAAAACACCTTAACAC